ATTGCATGCTCCCACTCTGAGATTCACTAACTTGTATAGCCTCCTCATAGTACTCTGGTTCACCGCTATCTGTTAAAAGTAAATAGTCTAGTGATGAAAGATATCTGAGATTCGGTTTGGGTACTCTGGATGACCTCCTAAGCTCCACGCCTTGGGTAGTAGTCTCTACACCTGGAATCTCCTTTGTTCTTCTGTCAGAACTGACACTGTCTCCTCCATCTGAAAGTTCCTCCAAATCCATGTACTCGGATCCACCTGCATCGTTAGTGCTGTTTTTACTGCTTTGGCTATCATTGGCATTGTCTCTGTCCTTCTACATCACTTCTTCATTGAATATCACATCTCTGTTCCTGATGATTTTCCTTTTCTTCTCATCCCAAAGACGATTTCCGAACTCATCAATGTCGTATCCAATAAATGTACACTTCTGTGACTTAGCTTCTAGCTTGTCCCTGACATGATCACTGATATGAACATATGATATGTAACCAAACACTCGTAAATGTGAGAGATTAACATTCTTGCCACTCTAAATCTCTTCTGGAATCCCGAAATTCAATAAAACTGATGGCCCATGATTAAATAAATAAGCTGCTGTATGTACCGCGTCCACCTAAAACGTCTTAGGTAGACGTGCATGTAGACACATGCTTCTCGTACGCTCTGTCAACGTCCTGTTCATCCTCTCTGCAACGCTATTTTGTTACGGTGTCCATTGAGTAGTCCTCTCTAAACGAATCTCATTCAGAGCACATAATTTTTTGAACTCCTCCAGCTCGTATTCTCTATCATTGTCCGATCTCAAACACTTCACATTCAGACCTGTCTCGTTCTCTATCATGGTTTTCCACTTCTTGAAGATCCCGAACACTTCTAACTTGTGCTTCATGAAGTATACCCACACATTCCTCGAGTGATCGTCGATAAAGGTGATATAGTACGCCGAACCACCAAGAGAATACACGATAGCTGGACCCCAAACATCTGTATGGACGAGCTCTAGCTTCTGAGCTTTAGGTGGTCTTCCACTCTTCTGAAAGCTGACCCTCTTTTGCTTCCCGTAGATGCAATATTCGCAAACACCAACTTCAACTGAATCGATGCCGGATAGCTTTCCTTGAGAGTGTAGAAGCTTCATACCCTTCTCGCTGCTATCAGCCGCAGGTTGGATTGAGGGCCTTTGGAGGCCATTGGGTGAACTACGTGAAGGCTTGATTCCTTGGGCAAGAGGATACGTAGGCAGTCTTTATGATGCAGCCGTTTTGGTGAGCGACATCGACATTTGGGGTGAGTGTTTGCACTCCTATTTGGGTCTTAGAAAATGAGGCATTTGGTGTAGTCGGTGTAGGCTCAGTTAATTGGTGAGTAGACACAGTTGTTTTGGGGTTGAGTGTTCGCACTTCCGTTTGGGTCTCGATGTGTTGTGGATGAGGTCCGTTGTCATGAATCCGTTGCCATGACGTACTGGATGCAGCAGTTGAGGTATTGTTTTTGATCGGTGTCGGCTCAGTTTTTGGTGGAAACATTCGCCGAGGTGGAGAATTGAAGAATTACAGGAAAACAGGTAGGAACCAGCAGACACATTGGTTGCAAGAGCAGATGTCCAGAACCGTGTGTAGGAGTCGCCGTCTAGGAGGGCGCGGCTCATCCTGTAGTTGGTAGAAATTCAGTTGCCTTTTGTAAAGAGGTATGGACATTGGTAAATTCCGAATGTCAAAATTTGCAAGCCGCTGAAGAATAAGGAAGCCTATTCAAGATTCAGAGTGTGAATGTTGCCAAGGCTAGTGTGCGATGTTCAGATTTCAGATTCTTTTGGGCTATTCGTGTTCCCCCAGCTCTTCCGTAGGTTGGATTGTTCCGACTCCAACCTGAGTTGGGATGTTGGATTCGGGGCTTGCTACTTACCACATATGCCTGAGAAGGGATGTTCTCCAGCTACTGTCAGGATTGGAAAGAGGGGATGCTGTTCTCGATGGTTAATCGATGCACAGAGTTGCCGCATATTGGTGGTATGGGGCGCCGGGCGGCGGGGCCGCGGCCGTAGCGCTTCGTATTCAGACGAGTGACGGATGATCCGGGGTTGGTTGCATGTCGACAGAGTTGTTTGCTCAATCCTGACAGGAACGACATTATTTTACCTTGGGGTATTTTAGAGGCAGCAGGCTATAGGGTGACCTTAGCTCGGATTACGGTCGCTCGAGTCACATCGGGGTCCATAGCATTGTGCATTGTAAGCGGCGTCAAGGAGGTAGAACTTGTTATTATCTTGCTCGGGAGCACGGGTGATTAGTAGAGCGCTGTCACGACTTCTTTGGCTAGACTTGTGTGATGTTTGGTGCTGGGATGATATGTTTGGTTATTACCGGCACAGATTGTTGAGGAGTGCTATGACCTGCCAGATTGAAGTCCTGTGAGCACATTGCGGCCTCATGAGCCGAGGAGGACCGAGGTAGAGTTTGTTTTATTTCTTACTTTTTTTCCAGCACTTCTAGTCCCGATGAGGGGTCTATTGGAGGTGTTCTAGTCAGCATTGGGGGGCCTTCCATGTATGCAATCAGTGGGAGGGTATCGTTATTTTGTTTTCCTATGTGGAATGTACTAGGCATATTTCGGTTGCAACCAAGTCCCGTTGGTATAAGCCTAGCTAATCCGTAATATGTTGGAGGATTTGTTTGTTTTTATGCGGTAGAAAGGTACAGTCGTTACTTATTCTAGTAGGAGTCTTTCTTGCACTTGCGTGCTTTAGCTCATGCAGTTGGAGACACTTTGTAGAGATAGGAACAGTGGGCGACGTGATGACACTGGCGATTAGTGAGCCGGTTTTTTCTGGAGGAGGATCGGGGTATAGTTGGTCGAGAACGTGAATCTGGATATCAGGACTTCGATATGGTTATAGGTCATCTTATGAGGGTTGCCGACTGCTGCGTTATAGAGTTGTTAGATCTGGTGGAGCGTTGCTTTTAGTTGTTTGCGTTGGCGTCAAGATATTTGGCTACCCAACACTGGCTCACATCTTGGATGCTTGAGATTAGTCGAATCGCCGCATTGGGTCATTCAGAAGGCTCGTTCTCGTGCTACCTCAGTGGGGACTTTGAGTATTGCGTCTTGAGCAGTTTGTTCACTTTGCGACTCTCGGCAGGTAGAGAGTATTGATCAGGATTAGAGGGATACCGCCAGCGGTGTGGGAGGTTGATGCTACATCATTGGGCGTGGGATTGCCCCACGAATATCCAGGTCATTCTGTAATTTTGTTTGGCGCATTCAGCTGAGGTGGCCACCAAGCGCTGAGAGTCATTTATTCTATTGGGCTGCCAGATGATGGCAGGTATTGATTTGGATGCCAGGCTGTCGATGGATATGTTTTGATCAGTCATTGTTACATCTCAGGTGGAGGTGTTGAATTGTTTTTTTTGTCAGGGAATTGGGGAGTCGTGATGATGCTATCCAGCCTGCAGGTTGGAGTGAGGGCCTTGCGAGGCCATTGGTGGACTACGTGAACGCCGGCTTGATTCCTTGGACAAGGAGGATATGTAGGCAGTCTTTATGATGCAGCCGTTGTTGGTTGAGCGGACACGACATTTTGGGGTGAGTTTTGCACTCCTATTTTTGTCTTAGAAAATGAGGCATTGTGTAGTCGGGTTGTAGGCTCAGTTAATGGTTGAGTAGACACAAGTTGTTTTTGAGGTTGAGTGTTCGCCACTTCGTTTGGGGTTCTCGATTGTGTTGTGGATAGGTCCGTTGTCATGAATCCGGTTTTGCCATGACGTACCTGGAGTGCAGCCACGCTGAGGTATTTTTTATCCAGGTGTCGGTCTCAGTTTTGGTGGAAACAGTTCGCCGCAAGTGGAGAATTGAAGAATTACTAGAAAACAGGTAGGAACAGCCAGACAGACTGGCGCTAGTTCGACCCGTCAGGGTCGACGCACGTGCACACAGTCCTACTGGGTTTCGGAGATGAAGGCGGTCGACCGCCGCGGTCGACCGCGATTGACTGTAATTGTTTTCTGCTCTCGGGTTTGGTGTTCGGTCGACCGCCGCGGTCGACCGCGAGACCTGCGCGGTCGACCGCCGAAGCGGTTTTGGCTGGGTTCAGTTTCCAGACCCGTTTCGTTTTGGATTTGTATAAATACCCTTTGGGTGTTTTTTAGGGTATGCAAGGCAGGAGTTTTTGAGCAGATTGTGAGGGTTTTCTTTGTGCTTCTATTCTAGGAGCAATTGGAGAGATTAAGAGTGAGTTGTTGAGGGTTTTGGTGAGAGATTGTAACCCTAGTTTGTTCCTCTTGATTTCTAATAGTGAAATCTCCTCCCTCCTTGCCCCGTGGACGTAGGCATCTCGCCGGACCACGTAAAACTGGTGTTTGATTGTTTGTTCTATTGATTTTAGTTGGTTCTTTATCTTTCTTGGCGATTGGTTTAGTTTCTCGAGGCACAACAATTCTATCATTACACCCAAAAAATAAAAGAAAAGGCCTTCTATTTAGAATAGTTTGAAAGAATGTTGTTGTATATGCTTTATTCTGTAGGAAAAAGAGCTTCATTTTTAATGTGGAAAGTGGCGTACATGCTTTTTGCATAAACAATAATGGAAAAAGGGTTCTACTGTAGATAAAGTAAAGTTGGTCTTTAGTTGCTATTGGAAAGAAGCACAAGAAAAGTGATTCTTCAAGGGAACAAAAGTCACGAAGAAACCTTCATGTAGAAACTTAGAGAGAGTAACTTTTTTTGGCATATGATGCTCATCTCTTTGAAGGACAAAATATTATGATGCTCATCTCTTTCAAGGACAAAATAGTACGTGCATGACAATTTCTCATTTCTCCTGGGAACTTTGTTTTTTTTCTCTAGGCCCGAAAATATTTTAAATAGCACTTGTTTTACAGTTTGTTGCAAAGTGTGCCAATTCTTGAAATGGGGAAGCCGACTGTATAGAGTTGAGTGTTGTACGTTGTTTATTACCTGGTTGATATTGACTAAGGATGAGTTTAAGCGTGGGTCGGTGGGTCAGGAACCCAATAATGCAACCTCTTCTCTCTAAGGTACACGTGCTGTGTGGCCATTCTTATTTTGCAACGCACCCATTGGGACTAGTATTTTGTTTATTTCACTGTATTTTAATTAATATTTTACATATTGAGTAATTCTCACTAGATTATAGGAGCTATGCTACTCTGTATAGAAAAACACAATAACACAAAAGTAGCACAACTTTTGCAGTAAGCCCTTATAGATCTTCAATAATCTCATCTCATGTCTCTACCAAAATTTTACTAGAGTACAAATTATATCAGAACAACTCGTTTACTAGAAGAGTGTTCCGTGCCATTCACAACATGGATAGAGAACATTTAGAAAATTTAAAACTCCCTTTATGATACTGATCACTCTGTTCACATAGATCATGTTATGATAAGATATGTATTCATTTTATTGGTAAGTTTTCTTGAAGAATAGTGCAAGCATTTGGTGTGCACATTTTGTATATTAATTTCACAATTAACATATACCTTACAGACTCCGCATGTTGTGTCCATTGCAAGAAGAACCAGGACACTTAATAAACAAGACCAACAAGTGACGACTTAACCCAATTTTTGTGTTATAACTAGACACATTGGACGCTTTTTATCATTATAGAACATTTAAGTTTTTTTTTTTCTTTTTCCTTTCTTTTTTTTTTGAGAGGATCGCAGGTCCATGTCCTTAGGTGGCTGAGTACCTCAGTGAGGCAAGTTTTGTTCCATAAAGGTAACCGTTTTATATAATAAACATGTACATCTTACTGGATAGTCAGAATAAGAAAATACTCAACTAAATGCAGGTAGAAATCTATGTTAAAAGCTACATCATATTTCATTGATTGCAGTGTTATAACCATTTCTTATTCGTAGGTGCTATAATGTCACATTTAAATCTTCTTATATGAGCTGTTACTCCTTCTATCAGATATTACCTCAATTTTCTGAAATGACATTATTGCTGTTCTTATTGTCGGGGTTGAACACACGACATCCCGTGCCCTTCCGGATCTTGTGTCAAAAGTAGGTAAGAAAGAAATCACAGCAAATAAAAGAAAAACTTGCAGGAAGGAACGGACAAAAGAAGGAAAACACTAGATTTAACGAGGTTCGGCAAACATGTCTACGTCCTCGGGAGCCACACCGGAAAGTTTTGATTAATTGAAGAAGATTACAATGCTTGCAATAGGTCACACTCTCTCTAAGATCTCTGATCTCAAAGTACCGTCAAAACCCTCTCAAAGACGTCCTCAGATAACCCTAAAAACGTTTTAGGAAACATATATATACTCATGCCAAAAATAGAATCCAACCCGAATCAGGAAACTGCCAGACCCGACTTTGGTCGACCGATAACATCGCATCGGTCGACCGATAAACGGATTTTTGTGCAGTTTGTGTTTTTTCGATTCCAGGTTTGGGTCTTTACACCCGAGACCAACAATCTCTCATTTGGAGACCAAACCGTCATCAACTAGCTCTCCCGAACTCCCGCCATCTTCGTAAGCATCTTCTCCTATCCGGAAAAAATCCATTCTTCAATCAATATCATCTCGGCGATCTCGCCTATCCTCTTAGTGTGGCTTCGCCTTCATATCCTACGCGTGAATGTCAACTGAAGTTATGCACAACTCCAGTTTGTCGATGGTCACTGCTTTCGTCAATATGTCCGCATGATTTTGACTTCCTAAAATCGTCTCAAACTGTAACTTGTCGTCCTTTATCAGCGAGTGTATGAAGTGGTAATGTACTTCGATGTGCTTCGTTCTGCCATGATATATTGAATTCTTGGCAATGTGTATAACACTCTGGCTATCACAATAAAGAACGTCGTTCCCTTGCTTCGAACCCAACTCTTCCGGACATTCAGTCAACCAAATCATCTCCTTGCTGGCTTCAGTCACTGCGACATACTCTGCCTTAGTCGTGAACAATGTTACTAGCTTCTACAAATGTGAGACCCAGCTCACTGCTATCGACGCTAAGGTATAAACATATCCTATGGTACTTCGTATCGTATCATGATCACCGATGAAATCTGCATTCACGTATCCCTGCAGTATTAATTTCTTCCTTCTGAAACACAATGACATATCTGTAGTCCCTCTCAAGTATCGTAATATCCACTTCACGGTTTCTCAATACTGTTTTCCTAGATTGCTTATAAACCTGCTCACAACACCCACTGCATGGGTGATATTCAGCCTCATGCAAACCATAGCGTACATAAGACTACAAATGGCTGATGATTATGACACTTTGCTCATATGCTCCTTTTTATCTGTCCTGGACGATTGCTCATCACATAACTTGAATTGACTTTCAAGGAGCGTGTCGACGGGCTTGGCATTCTCCATGTTGAATCTCTGAAGTACCTTCTCGATGTATTCAGCCTGACTCAAATTCTGCTTCATCTCGACTGATTCACATTCCAAGAATTTACTTCGCTGCACCCAGATCCTTCATAGCAAACTTTTTCGCCAACTGTTTCTTCAATTTGTTTATCCCCTCTAAACACGGTCCTGCAACTAACACGTCATCAATATACAATAAGAACATGATATAGCTGGACTCGAATCTCTTGAAGTAGCAACAATGATCTGAATTACATCTTCTATAGCTATTGCTCTACATGAAGTTATTGAACTTCTTGTACCACTGTCTCGGAGCTTGTTTCAAACCGTACAAGATTTTTTTGAGCCTACACACCATCTTTTTATTTCATTCTTCTATGAAGTCAATATGTTGCTTCATGTAGATTTTTTTATATAAGTGACCATGAAGAAAGACAGTCTTCACATCTAACTGTTCAAGGTAAAGATTTTCAGCAGCTACTAAGCTCAACACGACTCTTATGGTTATAAGCTTCACAACGTGGGAAAATATCTCCATATAATCCACTCATTTTCGCTGTTGGAATCCTTTCACAACTAATCTGGCCTTGTACCTCTTGCTTTTATCACTCTCCTGCTTGACCCGGTAGACCTATTTGTTATGTAAGGCTTTCTTTTGTGCAGGTAGCTGGGCTAAGCTCCATGTCTCGTTCGAGTGGAGAGAATCCATCTCTTCTTGTATTGCATGCTCCCACTCTGAGATTCACTAACTTGTATAGCCTCCTCATAGTACTCTGGTTCACCGCTATCTGTTAAAAGTAAATAGTCTAGTGATGAAAGATATCTGAGATTCGGTTTGGGTACTCTGGATGACCTCCTAAGCTCCACGCCTTGGGTAGTAGTCTCTACACCTGGAATCTCCTTTGTTCTTCTGTCAGAACTGACACTGTCTCCTCCATCTGAAAGTTCCTCCAAATCCATGTACTCGGATCCACCTGCATCGTTAGTGCTGTTTTTACTGCTTTGGCTATCATTGGCATTGTCTCTGTCCTTCTACATCACTTCTTCATTGAATATCACATCTCTGTTCCTGATGATTTTCCTTTTCTTCTCATCCCAAAGACGATTTCCGAACTCATCAATGTCGTATCCAATAAATGTACACTTCTGTGACTTAGCTTCTAGCTTGTCCCTGACATGATCACTGATATGAACATATGATATGTAACCAAACACTCGTAAATGTGAGAGATTAACATTCTTGCCACTCTAAATCTCTTCTGGAATCCCGAAATTCAATAAAACTGATGGCCCATGATTAAATAAATAAGCTGCTGTATGTACCGCGTCCACCTAAAACGTCTTAGGTAGACGTGCATGTAGACACATGCTTCTCGTACGCTCTGTCAACGTCCTGTTCATCCTCTCTGCAACGCTATTTTGTTACGGTGTCCATTGAGTAGTCCTCTCTAAACGAATCTCATTCAGAGCACATAATTTTTTGAACTCCTCCAGCTCGTATTCTCTATCATTGTCCGATCTCAAACACTTCACATTCAGACCTGTCTCGTTCTCTATCATGGTTTTCCACTTCTTGAAGATCCCGAACACTTCTAACTTGTGCTTCATGAAGTATACCCACACATTCCTCGAGTGATCGTCGATAAAGGTGATATAGTACGCCGAACCACCAAGAGAATACACGATAGCTGGACCCCAAACATCTGTATGGACGAGCTCTAGCTTCTGAGCTTTAGGTGGTCTTCCACTCTTCTGAAAGCTGACCCTCTTTTGCTTCCCGTAGATGCAATATTCGCAAACACCAACTTCAACTGAATCGATGCCGGATAGCTTTCCTTGAGAGTGTAGAAGCTTCATACCCTTCTCGCTCATGTGTCCCAACCTATTGTGTCACAGATCTGTACTTTTCTTGTCAGCTACAATTGCGAGGGTGTCACTCGCATGTGAAGTAAGGTAGAGAGTTTTTGTTTTATTACCGCGGGCAACCACCATAGTATCGTTAGAGATCTTTCACGAATCCCCGGTGAATGTTGAAACATAGCCTTCCGCTCCAAGTTGGCCCATCGAAATAAGATTTCTCTTCAGTTTCAGTACGTGTCTGATGTTCTTCAGATTCCACTTAGAGCTATTCATCTGAATCTGCACATCGCTTCTTCCAATAATACTATAAGACTCGTACCATAAGTATACTTTTCCAAAGTCCCCTTCTACATAGTTCTGAAGAAGCTTCCTATTAGCAGTGACGTGGAATGATGTTCTCGAATCAATAACCCATGAGTCGGAGTCGTTGTCCATAACAAGGATCAAGACATCTTGCACGATATGAGCCTCCTGCTCATTCGTATCATTCTTTGGCGCTTTACAGACTGAAGACATATGACCGTCCTGGCCGCCGTTGCAACACTTCCATTTGATGGACCTAACCTTCGAGTTCGACCTCTTCTTCTTCGACTTCGACCGATTCCTGTTCTGGTTACCCTTCTTCTGACTTCGGCCTCTTTGCTTAAGATTTAGGGCTGAACCTGAACATTCTGATTTGGACGATTTTCTTCTAACCTTCTCGGATAGAATCATGCTAACAACCTCGCTCAGCTTTAACTTTTCTTTTCCCGTCGAATTGCTAATTGCGATCACACAACCTGTCAAACTATCCGGCAACTGCGATAGAATTGATAGGGCCTGTATTTCGTCATCAAACGTGATATTGACGAAGATAAGTTGATTAACGATCGTGTTGAACTCGCTGAGATGCATTGTGAAGGAGCATCATTCTGCCATCTTGAGGTTAAAAAGTATCTTGACGAGATGCACCCTATTTATAGCTGACGGTTACTCGTACATTTTCGTGAGCGCTTTCATAAGTCTCATCCTAGTCTTCTCATTCAATATATTGTGGGTGACTGATTTGACGAGCAACAACCGAATCTGTCCTAGAGCCTTCCGATCCAGTATTCCCAGTCCTCGTCTGATTCCTCTTTCTTCTTTGCTTTAGCTTTTTCAATCAATGGATGGTAAAGATCCTTCTGATACAGATAATCCTCCATCTGTGACTTCCAGTAGACGAAGTCTGATCCATTAAACTTCTCGATCTTTGATTTGTTTTCTTCTGCCATCTCTTTCAAAACACAAAAACTTTTACCGAACGAAGCTCTGATACCAGTTGTTGGGGTTGAACACACAACCCGTGCCCTTTCGGATCTTGTGTCAAAAGTAGGCAAGTAAGAAATCACAACAACTAAAAGAAAAACTTACAGGAAAGAACGAACAAAAGAAGAAAACACCAGATTTAACGAGATTTGACAAACGTGCCTACGTTCTCGGGAGCCACACCAGAAAGTTTTGATTAATTGAAGAAGATTACAATGCTCATAATAGTCCACACTCTCTCTAAGATATTTGATTTTAAAGTACTGTCGAAACCCTCTCAAAGACATCCTCAGATAACCCTAAAAAACGTTTTAGGAAACATATATATACTCAGCCCCAAAACATAATCCAATCCAAATCAGGAAAATGTCAGACCTGACTTCGGTCAACCGATAGCATCACATCAGTCGACCGTTGATCGCCATTGGTTGACCAATAGTTTGCTTCGGTCGACCGGCCAGAACTCTGTTTTCTACAGGGTTCTCGTGCACCTTTTCGGTCGACCGGGGCAAGCTCGTCGGTCATTCGACCCGAAACTCCTGTAATTCTTCTTGGCTTCACATCGGTCGACCGACAACCGATGAGCTTGTGTCGGTCGACCGATAAACGAATTTTTGTGCAGTTTGTGTTTTTTCGATTCTAAGTTTGGTTCTCTACTCCCGAAACCAACACTTATTCTTCTCCAATCTATTTGTAATGAGCCAAGCACACCTATAGAAAAAAAAAAATCATATCTAGTAGCAATTAATCATATTCAAAATATTGGGACTTTTAAAAAATTGGGACTTTTGAATCCTAACCCGTCAATGATCATCCCATCCTGGTCATATGAAGATTCTTTTTCTGTCTGTTTTAGAGAAAAAATCAAATGTTTTTCCAGCCTTTTAACATATTGCCTCTTCTGCATTCTCCATCTTTTGTTATTATAATGAACGATCAGTATGTTGTTGCCCATGGACATGGGGCGTTGGGAATCAGTAGAGGATTCAGAGTTTAATGTCAGTGGTGTCCCTAACTTATTAGTTTATTAAAAGTAAATGTATGATAGTATTTGAAGTCCGCATTAACAATTTTATCTTTCTTATTGGTGTGCTATCTGAACTTTGATGGTGTCATAAGCAGTAAATATATAAGTAAAAGTAAATAAAATTATCTATAAAGCAAGCAATTCAGTGGTGGCAGTGGCATCCACTGGACACTGTGTAAAAGTAAAGTACTCTGTTTATCAATTGTTTTTACACAAAATCAATATCAATTCAAAACTCATTAATTTTGCAGTCAGGATGCTGCAAACCTCCAACAGCATGCGGCTACAACTATGTAAACCCCACCGTATGGGTAAACCCTAGCAATCCTGGTGCAGACCCAGACTGCTACGCATGGAGCAACGACCAGAGCCAGCTCTGCTACGGATGCAACTCCTGCCAGGCCGGAACTCTTGGCAACATTCGCAAAGAATGGAGAAAAGCCAACATTGCCCTAATTGTCGCTACCGTTGCTCTTATTGTTGTTTATATTATTGGATGCAGTGCTTTCAAGAATGCTCAGACTGAGGATCTCTTCCGCAGGTACAAACAAGGGTGGGTTTAGGATTAGTTCAGTGCAATGTGTGCTTGTTTGTGGTTTTGTTATGTGTTATGAGTCTCTAGCCGTTTGGCTTTATTGTTTGGTAGGAAATTTTCTTATGAAGTATGTGCTTGTTGTAAATGTTGCCATGTATTTGCTACGAATTGATGTAATCGAGACAATGGTTTATCTGCTTTGCATTTTATCTCTTATGATTGTTAATTGCAAAATGGAGATATTCCTGGGAAAGATGTAGACCATATTTAATATTTCGTAGGGTTAATTGCTGATAGGCCCCCTCTATTATCCCCTCAACTGCGGATAGACGCCTTGTATTTTTATTGTTACGGTTTAACCTTTTTACTATCGCCTGATTGTAGGTAGATCCTCTGTGATTTTTTTGCTCTTTTATCTTCAGGAGGTCTATTTATCAAAAGACAAATTTCTCT